TGTTTGAAGCCACATATTCTCGAATTTGAAATAAGATGGTGAGTTTTCCCAGTCTCCACCCTCCAGCATGATTGGTTTATGGTCAGAAATAACTCTAGGCATTACCGTCTGCTTTACAGCTTTGAAGGTGTCACTCCATTCGGTAGAAATCAGGAATCTGTCAATTCTTGAAGCCTGAAGGTGATCCTCCCCTCTTGACCAAGTGTATTCTGCTCCTTGTAATGGTATATCAATCAAGCTTAAGTCTAGAATTGTATCAGAGAAGCCCTTCATTGCCTTGGACCTCCTTGTGCAGTTAAGTCTTTCACTTTCAAACCTACATATGTTGAAATCGCCACCAATTACCCATTGATCAGACCAAAGCCCTCTGATTGATGCTAGTTCATACCACATTTTAGTTCTTTCTGGGTTTGTGTGAGGTCCATAGACTCCTGTGAACACCCAGTTGAAGTCTTCAGCTAAGCTCTCGAATCTGCAAGATAATGTGAATGTTCCAGATTGGGAATCAACACAGTGCCGGATTCTCCTGTCCCACATAATTAGAATCCCCCCTTTGGTGTCACTTACAGGAAGATCAACCCATGACACCCATCTGCTTCCCCATATTTCCCTGATCAATGAAGAGCTCCAGTTTTCAATTTGTTTCCTATAAACAGAGAATGTCCAGCCCCCACTTGTGAATGAGAGATTTTAGCGTACTTCTCTTATTCCTATTGGTTAAACCCTGTACATTCCAACTTAATATTTTTATCTTCATCTAGAGTGTGTTTTTTGAGACCTGCCCCTAATCTTCTTGCCACTACCCTCCTGTAAACCCCATTCCAATTTTTTGAGTTCAGTTCCCCCTTTGGACTTCCCTTTTCTAGACTCCACCTCAGTTTGTGACTGTTGCTGCAATTGAGTTCTTCTTCTCTCTTGCATTCTTAAAATAATGCCCATAATTTCATGTTCAAAGCCAGCAACATTAACCCCAAAAGCTTTACAAGCTTTTAACATTGCCATCTTTGTCCACCTTGATGCCTCATATACTGTTGATGTGTCCACCACTTGCATGCAAAGATCTTCTCTCTCATGCCAGGGCAAAGGGAGAAAATCATTGAGTGACTGAGAAGAGAATTCAGATTCCGGTTCACTAACCTTTGGTGAATTTGCAGATAATAATTGTGGCAATAGAGGAGGAGGATTAAAATGAATCAAAGTCTCAGCTTCATCATCGGCATCGAATTGAGTGTGTGACGTCTCCCCTGTGGTGTTGGTTGCCGTGAGTTTGGAGGCTTGAATTTCGAGAGAGAGGGGATCGTAGTCGGAAGATGCCTGTGAAGGAGACGGCTTAAAAATGCATGAGTCGTTTATTGGCCCGACTGCTCTCCAAAGAAGATTTGATTTGGGACTTTTGTGGTTTACCCTGTGCTCTGGGCCTGTTGAATAATAGCCAGAGTTGAGGCCCATATTTAAATTCCCTTTGTTTGACCTACCTTTAGTAGTAGCTTTGACGGGTCGTTTTCCCCCATTTAGAATGACCCGATTTTTTGAAATACAATTTCTCTCCTTCACGTGATCCCCTATGGACAGACTGGTAGATGCGACCTCAATAGGCACACTGTTCGAGGTCTCCACCAACTGCTTTGCTGCTGTATTTGGTACGAGGTTGTGACCAATGGGTTTTGGAGGTGCCCGGTCCTCCTGCAGAATCTGGATATCAAAGCCTAAGTCCCCCACTTCGAGATTCAAGTTCGCCGGAATTGTCCAGTCTGAGTTTTTGATGCAAATTCTGGCCCAGAAGAAGTGAGCTCTGTTTTTGGTGTCTTCATCTGCATCGATGTAGCCTCCACACTTGTCGCCTACAAATTTGAAAGTCTCTTATGACCAAGCGTGCAGAGGTATCCCAAAAGCTTTAATCCATCGAATCTCCGACCTGCTGTCCGTACCTTCTGTGCCGCTGATCGGCGATCACCACGTTAGCGACAGATGCCTGCCGTTCCAAAATCAGTCCCCAGCTTTGATTCTTATCGCCTCTTGTCTAGAAGGGAATTCAAATAAGAAACGATTGTGATCTATTGGGGTAACTCTGATCCCTGCTGTGATTTTCCATCTTGTAGTGAACCATTTTTGAATGGTTTCTGCATTAGGGCTGTGATGGAAGGGGTCATTGAAAACCCCAACTAAGCTCCTGGAAAGTGGGTGTATATCCGCCATTGTCCCTGTGTTAGAGCTTGAACTCATGGAGGTATCCGGCCAACTTCCTATTCTTGCTGCTTCGTGATAGGATCATAACATTGGAGCTGGAGGTCTGATTGGGAATATTTTTTTTGTTTTCTCCAGGAAGCGTAGAATCTTCTCTGCTATTGCATCCCAACCCTTGTTGTAATCAATCTCTGGAATGATCACTCCCTTCTTTCTCCCTCCTTGCCATACCTCAATTCTTACAAATCTGCCATGAATGTTGTAGTTTTGATAGACCCTGTAGAGATATTGTTGTGGTGTTCTCCCCCATCTTCTGTATAGATCACCCACTCCGTTTGAAGCTCGTTTTAAAGTATCGCAGACCCATCTGAGACTAGGTTCATCAATATTAATGCTGCTAGTAAACCGTCTGCCTCTCTCAGTGAGTGAGAACCACCGAGAAAGATCATCCCCAATATTAATGACTTCGAAAGATTTGTCCCCTGAAATAAAGAAAGCTTTTTCCCCCATAATAGAAATAATTCCGCCGGAGAAGAGGATTCACCGGAGAGAAAATCAGAGTGAATAATGAGAGGACACATTTCCCAAGTCAGAGAGAAAAAAAGTCATTTTTAAAACCTTCTTTTGTCGGATTCATAAACCAACTTATTTGAAATAAGAAATTCAATGCTTCTCGACACTTTTTAGTTAACTGTCAACCTTCCTGAGACAGCAAATTGAGGAAAAAACTTTCATCCCTTCTCCAAAAGGTTTATTTTTTCTTTATTTTTTTATTTTGATATTATGAAGCATCTTGTAAATTCTTCTTCTTCCCTTCTCTAACGTGACTTCAGGAATTATCAACTGATATTTCTCTCATGCTTTATCAACAGGTTCAAGGACCTTCTCTTGAGTCATTCCTGATCATTGGAAGGGTTTCATCTGAAGCCGTTCTTGAGTCTATGCTGTCGCAAAAGAGGTCGTTGTTATCTTGGATCAATTTTTGGGTACAGAAGATTTTGTTGGAAGGCCGACTTTGCGCAATGCATATAGCAGTGTGGCTTTTGCAACTTCAGAAAGCCTTGACATTGTGAAAGCAAGTATTGTCCAATTTTATTGGATGTCCTTGAATGAACTGACATAGTGAAAGCAATTAACAATCAAGAGATAGTAAATCTGGAATTTCTTTTTATAATTTAGAGAGTGGATGCATTGATTTTTTCCAAGCCATCCTCTCGGCCTGATCTCCCATTGGAGCAGAGCCTGGAAAACCGCAATTCTTTTGTAATAAGTTGCATTTACATATTTTAAGCAGAATGATTCTTATACAATAGGTAAGGGAAACAGAAAAATAGATTAGTCCAAAGAGCGGCTTCTGGTTGTACAATCCTTTAGAATACTCGTAAGATGAGAGCATATTTATTGGAATATTGTGGTGAGTTGGCAATAAAATGTGCAATTTTTTATGGCGAATTTAGCTCAGGACATTAACTTTTTGAGTACCCCCTACTCTTGATGTTTGTACCCTCACGTTTTGGGTTGCTAACTTCTAATCCTTGTACCATTTCGTATAGTTTCGTGGGCAATATTGGCCCTTTGCCGTTTAACAGTTGTACCCTTCGAACAAACAATAGTCAGTTTTAGCTCCCATTCCTCCCCATCTCAGAGAGATGAAATCAGTGACTTGTCATCCTATGAGTTAAAAAATAGACGAACAATCATTTAACGTATTTGATAGTCCACAAGTTTTTCTTTTGTTAAAAACTTAGCTTGCTTAGTTTTTTAAAGAGCTGAAATGGCATCAAATATGAGCCAACTAACCTCATGCGAAGTAGCTTTGCTACCAAACTCCTGCAACAAGCACCTCTCTTGCTAAAGTCACGAACAATAATACCTCACAAAGAGTATATATATATATATATATATATATATAAAAGATAATGACTGTTGCATGTTAACTGTGTGCTAGCTATATTGGTGATATCAAATCTATATTGGTAGTCCTGCTAAAGTCCCTAGCAATATTGCGCAGCCAAGAGAGGCGAAGGGCGATTATAAATACTTGCCACCTACAAAGAGACGAATCACTAAGTTAGCTTTCATTTAGATACACTTCCCATTCTCCCTCGCTCTTTCAAATATCAGATACACTTTTTGTTTAGTAACACAACATGTGGAGGATGACTCTAATAGCTGCAGGAATGACTTTGTTAGTGAACCTCCAAGTTTTACATAACCTCCAATAAACTTGAAGGGTGACCGACAAAGTCATTACTGCAGCTTTAAGAGCCATCTTCCCCATGTTGAGTTACTAAATAAAAAAGTTTACATGTATTCGATATTTGAAAGAGAGAGGGAGAATGATCTGTGATAAAACAGGAGAATGTTGTGTGGTAAAACAAAAACTAACTTGTCCCCAGTGCCTCTCTTCGTTGCGCAATATTGCTAGTGACTTTACCAAAGCGAGACAGTATATCACAACTGTAAAAAATCTAGACGTACAGAGGCGGAGTCAAAATTTGAAACCTATGAGTTCATTATTCTAATTCTTTTAAGTTCTCGGTTCTAAATTAATAATTTGTACATAATTCAATAATTTTTTAAGACAAATACAAGATTTAGACAAAAGTTACTGGGTTCAGCCGAACCCGTACGCGAAGATCTAGCTCCGCCCCTGCTGTCCTGCATCCGTACATACATGCATGCACATATATATATTACTATATTTTAGAAATGGGAGTTGATGGGACGAACATGTGCTAGATGTTATTGTACCAGAAGCCTTAAAAGTTGTATTCTCGGATTGGTTTCTATATAGACATGTATACCTTTACCTCTCTCACTCCAAGACGTGTACTGCTTCTACAAACACGTGTAACCCTTACCTCTCCCACTGAACTAAATGGTTAATACCTAATTCCATCTCCTCATTCTCTCGCTTCTCTCCCTTCCTCTCTTACTTACACTTCTCTGTTACTAACTAATAAATAAAGGGTCACTTAGGCACAGGCTATGGAGGCCCAATTCCAAATAATAATAGAGAAATGTCACTAAGACGATAGATTGTGCATTAGGATTTAGGAGTACAAACATGAGGTAACCACGATGTTACAGTCTTATTCATTTACATTTTGATTCCTGTTTTTAGTGGCATTTGTGAATTTTGCTTAGTTTTATCTGTTATATCTCGACGGACATCTAAACATGCGATTCTATCCTTTTTAGATAATATTGATCTACAATTATCATTCTGCCTCTGAAATTCTCCTTGTATTTTTGCTTTTTTTTGTTTTCAGTTAGTCGTATATAATTTTTGTTATTTGGTTCTTTCATATATGGACATTGCTCTTTCTTAATGTTCTCTTAGTGGATTTTGTACATTCATGTGGTTGATTGTTTAAATGCTTCTATAAAAGTACAGTGAATTTACCATCAGAAAGAGAAAATAGTACTGAAAAGGGAAGAACTTAGATGCAGCAAAGATGTTTGACGATATGCCTCAACTATTGTAATTTTTTAATTTCATTTCTTTTTACTTGTAGGTAATCTATAAGGCAGAGATCTATCATCTGGCAGCACCAAAGGTATATTACTTATTCCTATTGGATAGGAATACTGAGCAATAATGTGCATTATATTTATTTGAAATGCATTTAATTTTCCTATATGTTTATTGCAGTATTACTACTGTTTGTCTAAATAAACAGGGAAAATCAGATACAATCCAAACTGGCATGGAGTTCTTTTTTTGATCCATTTTTCTATTCGGTATGTAATGATGATTGAATTATCTAGCTCAACAATAATTACACTTTTGATCGTGTTTAAAAACTTCTCAAAGGTTTGCATTATAGCTAAGATACCTTTTCTGTTGTATTTTTCTGTTACAATAATTAATTTATTGCGTAATTTCCTTGGTTGTGCACATGAATGTGTGATTATGTGGAAGAAGTGTGCTATGGTTTCACGAATCGACATTTCAAGATTGCCCTAGAATTAGTTCTTTTAAGCATTTTTTATAATATTTTCTTTTAAGCATTTTTCTCTAAGGATTTCTTTTAAGCATTTTTTGTTTGGTTGGTTACTGATTCTCATTAGATACTGAGTTGTTTCCTTGTGACTAAGTGTTTCTATTTACCTATTACGGAAGTGAGAACTTGACAATTAGGTGGAATTTATTTTCCTATCTTGGAATTGCCTGACCTTTCTCTATAATCCAAGTAACTCTTCTCTATGTTCCATATTTAAGCTTTTACATCCATATATTTTCATTATTNGACCTTTCTCTATAATCTAAGTAACTCTTCTCTATGTTCTATATTTAAGCTTTTACATCCATATATTTTCATTATTTATGTAATTTTTAATGGTACATGACTTTATTCTTCCTTCTTCTCTGATGAATTTCAGTGAGCTTCATTCGCCACTTTCGACACTTTAATGAGTGAACTGGAAAGACATTGCAGTTGTAGGTGAGCGTCAATGCATCACTTTTCTTTCTTCATCTTATTTCCTTTCCTCTTTCTTATTCTGTCTGAGTTATCTAAGTAAAATTGAGAATTCAATAATGGATTGAGGAATTTTTAACTAAACAGAATGAAACTAAAAATGATGTGAAGGAAGGATAAACAGAATATGGAGGGAGGAGTACATTATAGATTTCTGGTTAGCTTTAGTTCGATGAGTAGCATTGAGAATTAGCACCCTTCTGCCAGGTGAAAGCCAGTTAGAGCTGCATGATCTTTTCGTTGCATTCGGTGTTAGCCGCATATTCTTTTTAATGCTAAATGACATTCCACTATGATTTGGTGCATCAAATTGTATAAGGTAAAATTGGAGGTTAAATGGTAAAGATAGAAAATTGAGAAGAGTATAAACTGCACAAGAGACAGGAGTTAGGAAAGTATAAACTCCACTCAGTTCACAATCTTGCACATGATCCAAAACCTAAAAAAATAGAAGCAGGAGTTAGGAAAGTTGATGCAAGATCAAAAGACATTCACAAGCTCTCTTTTCGGTGGTGCTACATCTATTACAGGGGGTACTTTGCTTGCTAAGAACCTCTTCTAATTCTTCTGAGTTTAAATTTTAGTGCATTTCTGCTATTTGCTAATTTTTTGAAGAGATTCAAACATTATCAAGCATGTGCTTTATTTCAATCTAAGGTTCTTTTCTGTAGAGCTAAAAGATTGAAAAGACAGTCTGGTTTTCATGAGGCAATAAATATGTAAACTGCTATATAAAGACTCTTAATTTTGTTTTGTGCTACTCTTTTTCTAAGATTTCACTTTTCTCTTTGGTTTTCTCATTCTGATTATTTATTTTGGAAGGAACATGCAATAGTTTTATGGCTTCGGTTTCAAATAGAAGATCATTTTCTTTTTTGTTACACCATTAGGCCACAATAAATTTCTCTTTGAGTTCCCATCAAGGCTTGAAGCGGTGCGAATCATAGCCGGTGAGTGGTTCTGGAATGGCAGGCGTCTCGCGCTTCAATGGTGGTCGCCGGAAATGGTGCAGCTCCGACCAACAACAAATCTGTGCAAAAATGGATAAAGGCTTTTGGTATACCATTGCATGCATGGAACCCCAATTCCTTTCGGTTTATTGGAGACAACTGTGGTGGCTTCATTGACACTGATGAAGACACGAAGCTTAGATCACACTTTTTCTGGGCCAGAATATGTGTTAAATTTAAGGAAGGCGGTTTACCCAACAATTTGGTACTAGAAATTGGGAAGTTGAAGTACAAAATCACTATTTTGGATGACAATCTCGTAGAAATTATCACCGGCAGCGGAATAGAGACAGCCGGAGTGGAGGTGAAGAAGATGAAGTCAAGTACAGTAGCTTCCTCGAGCCAAACAAAGGCTACTGAAGTACAGCCTGTCAAACCTAAGCTTTTGCAATTGGGTTTGAACCACTTTAATTCAAATAAAGTGGTTAAAAAACATGTTGACCAGGTCAACAAACCAGCCCACTTGATGAAAGCCCAAAAGAGTAAAGAAAAGAGATTTTTACCTATCTATACCATATATCAGAACTTATTACCCTCAATGTTTAAAGTTTGTGTTTATTACATTTAAGCATACCAAATTATCATTTCTATACCATAATTCAAATTAGGG